TTTGGAATGCCAGTAAAGTAAGCCCGGATGATAAAGCACAAGACGAATGTGAGAAGATTCGGTGGAGGTGTCCAGTGATAACGCCTTTCTTGGATTGAACTGGAGAAAAAGACCCATAATCTTGGAGGGACTGGAAAATGATGTCTTTATGAAGCAACAACACGTCCTGGTTGAGCATGGTGGCAAAACAACTCACCCGTGGTTTGTCCGTTATCTGCGAGATCTTGATAGTGCAGCCGATGAATTCCCACCAGTTTTGTCCTTCACTGGTAGCGAGTAGCTTGAGGTTCGGATCGTACGACAAAACAAACCTCTTAAAAATTCCTTTGACTTCGTACCAGTTCCTCTCGGTGTCATTAAAAAGGACAAAAAAAGTCACGTCGTCGACTATGCGCATCCCATGGACCCGTATTGACGTCGGTAAACGCAGACTTTTCAGAAATAAAAACTCATTGAAGGCACAAAGGAGGCAGGCAAGGGCCGGGCTGGAACTCTTGCCCATGGGTATACCCTCCGTTTGTCTATACACATCCGTCGAGCACACGTATACGTATGCTTAAGACTGTAGACTATAAAATCGTGGATCGTGACAAAGCTGACCCGTACCCAACCGACTTCTCCTTTAGCATGCCCGAACGTGTAGCCTTTTCCTCTGCTATTGACCCGAATCCAATCGACTCCCCTGGTCCCGAAGTGTTCCGTTATCCATTCAATAGCCTGAATAATTGACGCATGAGGTAGTTTAGAAAACATATCTTCAATATCGTAAGCAGCCCCCCGTACTACAGGGGAACGAATCCGTTGGATGGACGAGTTCACTTGGCCTATTCTCTCTTTGATTAATGACGTAGATTTCATGTTGAAGTGAGAGGAAGGGGGTAGTTTCCATAATAGACCGTTAATAGCCGTACCCACAATAGTGTCCACTCGGTTAGCAGGATCGGAGAAGGCAGGACAGATGGGGCGCCAGCATTGGGTGTCTTTGTGTTTCGGGATCACGTAACAATTCCCAAGACTGCCTTATTTCTTCCAACTAGACAGTGTATGGAAGCGCCCAGAAAAGAATTCAACAGTTCATGGGTGTACCCACTGAGCTAGGCTCTTTGGTAGAATCCAATTTAGCTGTTCACTGACTCAGAGGGACTTTTTCTACAGGGGAGGGGGAGGGGGAGGGGGAAAGGGAGGGGGAGCGGCGCTCCACGGGATGAAGCAGGGGTTGGAGGCCTTGCGGTGATCTGGCAATCAGGATGAGGATGAACGGAGAGGGAAGTAGAGAAGGACGGGGAAATGTTCGAGGAGGGGAAGAGTAACCAACTACCTAAGCAAAGAATGACTATTCCGAGGTTATCATCGCCTGACTGGACG